TTTTTTTTTTTTTTTACTCTTTTTTCTTTTTTCCTCGCCTCGGCTCCCGCCGGGGCGGCGGCGGCGGATAAAAGGCCGGGCGGCGCGAGGGGCGGGATCGGCCGGGCGCGGAGCCGCTGCGGGAAGGCGGGCGGCCCGTCCGTCTCCCGGCGCCGCCGCGGACCATGTACCAGGACTACCCCGGCAGCTTCGACACCTCCTCCAGAGGCAGCAGCGGCTCCCCGGGACCCCCGGCCGGCCCGCGGGGGGGTCCCCAAGGGGCCCCCGGGCTTCGCGTCTGCGCCGCGGAAACTGTGCTCGCGTTTCCCATCAGCGCGACCTCCCCAGCGCCCGCGGGGCCGTAGGCGCCTTTTCCTGATCCCTTTTCCTGCTCTCCAGACAGCCCTTTGATAGCCGGGAGCTGCCGGGTGGCATTGAGCTCTTGATCGGTTTTCCTGTTCTCTTGCCCTTCTGAATGCGGGTTTGGGGTGGTTTTGTTGTTGTTGTTGTTGTCGTCTCTTTTCTCTTTTCTCTTCCTTTCTCCTCTTTCATGAGGTTTACATGATCTAGCTCCGCTCCGGGATAATACCGCTTTCCTCTTGCGAGCTTCTGGTCTTGAGTAGTAAATGGAACTTGAAGAATGGAAGATATTTCCTGTGGAAGCTCTGTGAATTCGTGGATGTGAAAGACGAGCATTTTTTTTTTTTTTAAACAAGCCTTTTCATTTTTCCTGAGAAAACATCTCAAACGGCTTATATGCCTACATAGACTAAATCCACCACTTCTGGGGAAGGCATTACACAATCGGGCCAGTTATACAAACCTGGGTTATTTCATAACTTGTTTACATCAGCTGGCCTATCCTCACTCTTTTTCTTCTTCGGAGTTGCGCGCTCCCCCTCTTCCTATTCCTCCCCCTTCCCCCCCGATATTGTTATTTCTTGTGGGGCTCCTCCGAGCGGGCTGGCAGAGAGAGCGCATTTCTGTCTGCACATCAAGAAAGTCATAGGATCGTTTAAAAGAGGAAAGGGGAAAAAAAAAAAAGTGCACTAGTAAACTTTGCCAACCGTACCAGCCCGTGACATTCCTCACATTAAAGAAGTTTTACCAGAAATGACTCTCCGCSTTTCCCGGCCGGCTCCAAACGCATCTCGTTGGTGCCCTCTGTGGGCTGCTCCGAGGATGAGGATTTCCAGGGATTGCCGTTCGGGAGCGGATTCTTCGCTGTTTTACAGTAAACGTGGGCCGAGGCGGGGGCCGCGCTCCCGTTTCCTCCCTTTCCCTGCGGCTCCAGCAGATGCTCCGGATCGAGGCGCCTCTTTGTGAAGCTCCAGCCGCGTTTGCGCTCCCGGGGCTGCTTTCCCAAACCCTCCCGTGTCCTCGTCCCAGCGCGTGGCAGCCGGCAGCTCGGGAGCGCAGCGCCCGCTGCGGCTGCCGGAGAGGGGCTGCTAAGGCCCTGTCCTAACGGGGCTCCGAGCGGGATGCTGCCTTCGCCAGGGCAGGGATCTTTTCTTTAAGAAGCTGGGAGATTTCTCGAGGATCTGCTTGCTCTTCCCCTTGATCCTTGCAGATGTTGTAGATCCGAGTCGGAGGCGAGCGCTGCCTCTACCCCGGCAGCGAGGCCAGCGATCTGCAGGGCTTCATCGCTCGAGAAAGTATGACGGCCATATAGAAACTTTTATTTGTTTGTTTATAATTTCCCAAAGCAAGAAAAGATGCATCAGTCACATGTTTAAGGGGAAACTACATTTCCGAGCCAAAACTTTAATGCTTTTAATTTTTTTTTTTTTTCTCCCATCCAGCCCAACACTGGAACCTTTTTCTTCTGAGTTGCATGTCATGTTATATTCCTAATCACTGACTTGCCATATGGTAAACATAGGCTTTAATGGAACTAATTTGTGTGCTCCTTCAGACCGGTTGATTTTCCCTGAAATACCCTAGTCCTATGGCCAGTTTCTTTTCAAATAGACACTCGGTATGGGAGAACTATTGAGGGCTTTTTATTTCTTATGAAATATACTCCCCAGGTTTGATATGTGTTTGAGGATTTATTAGAGAGCAACTTTTTCTTTTGATTTCCCACCCCCCACCTCTCCCCTCTTTCCTTTCCCTTGGCTGTTTTACCCTTTTCTGTCTGGTTTCTGGTGCCACTAARTGCTCGTGGTTGCAAATGTAACCGGAGGTCTGGAGGGGAGCGGAGCCGCGACCTGGCACYGTGTGGAAACTCCTTGCCGAGATGGAGCAGGGAAAACATGGGGATGCAGGCTGAAACGTTCCCCTGTGGCCTTAGCTGAGCTGTGACCCGTGTTTTGTCCCTCACCGYGGTGGGGCTTGCTGGAGACTTCTTGGGTTGGGATCCCCAAGGCTGCTCTCCGACTCCTTATTTCAGGGTGGAGAGGAGACCGATCTCAGCTCTTTGTGCTATTAATAACAGAAGTCTCTCTGTTTAGCCTTTTTATTTATCTCCCTTTAGCTTTTTTATTTTATTTATTTAATGTTTAACGGTAGTGCTGCGTGGGTCAGGAGAGGGGTGGCTGCGGGTGCGCGCGGTGCCGCAGCGCGGTGCCGGCTGCGTGCGTCCCAAGGGAAGGGGGCAGCGGAGCGGAGGGGCCTGGCGCTGGAYAGGGCCCCGTGGGAGCCCTGGGCAGGGCACGAGGGCAGCGGCAGCGCTTCCAGCCCGGAGCTGGCGGCAGCGCCGTGGCCTGGCAGAGAGGCTGGATTCCTGAGGAAAAGCTGGATGGTGGGAAGCAACCTGAGCCTGAGTGTCCCGAGGTTCGGCCTGTCACAGCCACGTGCCCTCCAGCAGGTATCTGGGGTGGGGAAAGCTGAGCCTTCATCTGGGAGAGCTTTTTTGGATGTTTCAAGGGGTTACTGAGGAAGTTTGTGACTGATATGACACAGGCAGGGATATGACACAGACACAGGGAGCTGCCGAAAGATGTGGCTGAACTGAACAGCTCCCCTTGAGTGTCCCGGGACTGGTGTTACAGTCAAGTCCAAAGTCAGACCCGAGCGTGACTGCGAGTGGAGGAAATAGTCAGTCCATGAATAACTTGGAGTCTGATCTCTTGTGTCGAGCACTTCTGCCTGGCTTTTATATAGCTGGTCTCCGTGAGCTTGACTTTCCTGACCTCTGATGAGAGCTTTGAGCAGGTCTTTAGGTATTGCGGGTTACAAAAATAAGGTCTTGCAAGGGTGTTTCCTCTGGAATGCAAACAGCAACTCTGCACAGCGAGGCGCCAAAAGCCTCACCATGTTTTTCAAYTGCAGCCTTCTAGCAATTGTGCAGAAAAAGGCAGGACGCCTCCTTCTCTGCTTCTTGGGTGCAGGAGGAGTAGCACAGGTAGAGAGAAGTCATGACAGAAGTCACTTGTGGAACTGGAAGCAGAACTGACCTCTCTCGGCTTGAGTACCTGTAGGTTGAACAAGTCTCATGCTTCCTTTTTGCAAGCTCTCTCCGTAATAACACTACGGGTTGTAGAGGCATCAGGGCATCCGTTCCTGTGCCGTGTGGTCACAGCCTACACTGGCGATGGGTACAGCAAAGAAGCGGAGCTTCACCTCCCAGCCCTTCTATAGTGTTTATGGTTTCCAGCTCTAACTGGGAGCACTTATAAAGATGGGATTTGCTATGAAGTGTGAGCCTGTTTTGGGTTCAAGCTCCAGATGCATCATTGAGGTTTTGGTGGGGATTTTGCCAAGGCCTGGGTGCTACTGTTATCCTGTCTGCTATAACTCAACTCTTAACCCCCCATAACTCTTAATCCCCATAACTCAACCCTTCCCTCTCCTGTCCTTCCTTGCTATTCTTTTGAGCTGCCCAAAGCTATAGATTGGGATGTGCCTAGGTCATTTGGTCTCCAAGTTGTGGCAGCTGGACTTCCCCTGGACAATAATGGTCCAAAATTCTGTTAGTTATTCAGAATGTGGAATACACTCCRAGTTCCTCTTGCAGTAGCCTTGGTTTAACAGAGCATATAAGCAGGGTGCTTGACTAGGCACACCCTGAAAAGGAAATCCATGAGGGCTGTCCCTTATCTTGGATGCTTACCTGAGCTGAGGTCAGGCTGATGGAAACGTTTTYGCTTCTCTGGGAAGCTAGTTTGTCRACTCGGGAATGCACATTTTTCCCGGGACCATGTCAAGGGTCACAGAGCCATCACAGCCGGTCTTCCGAGCCCATCCCTTGCACAGTGAGCCCYGAGATTGCTGGAGTGAGGCCTGTTTGGCTGCAGGACGGAGCCCGACCACGGAGAGGCTCCCGACGGGAGCTCTTTGCAGACAAAAGCATTCTTTCTCTCCTGCTTCCCCCTCCGGGGACAGGTGATTGTTTTCCTTGCTGTTTAGTGCCAACACATTATCCAGATGGATTTACCTCTGTCTGAAACAAGGTGTACATGCATTTTGGAGGAGATCATTACCTACTGCCTTGGTTTTACTGCTGTCTTGTTTTGTCTAGACAGTGTGGAGAGCTGCAGGGAACTTGTCCGATCTGAATCCTAAGACCTATTTTATAGGCTGCCATTAAAATACATATCCTCGCACGTAACCATCCCAGGGCTGGGCTTCTTGTGCTGCGTGTGTGGTGAGCAGAGAACCGCCGAACAAGAAGCAAAATGTTGATCTCGCCATGGAAACCTTGCGTGGCCTGAGCCAGAGTTTCGAAGGCGTCTTTCGGTAGAAGGTTTTGCACTGCTTGGTAGAAAGGCAATTCAGAACTGAAGTTTCTCTTCCTTTTCTTTGGATTGGCAAAGAAGTGTTTTGCTAGAAACTCTTTCATTCCCCTTTTGCCCCATGCCAGAAGCGGCGGTGAGCTTGTGTGTGGGGAGGTGGCAACAGTGGGGACACTGCCAAGGAAGTGAGACCTGGCGTGGGGATGCTGGGGAAGGAGGAGGAAGGAGGTTGGGAGAAGACAAGGTTAACCCAGAGGGGAAGCTCTTTCTTTGGAAGGCCATGATGGGAGGGAGCAGCCTTGGATCCTGCAGAGGCTCCCGGCAGACCCTCCTTTTATTTATTATTTTATTATTATTTTTTCCAGATGCTTCAGAGCAGGTTCTGGCTCCTGCTTTGATGCTCACTGGTGCTGCTCCTCGGGGCCTGGCAGGTCTGCGAGCAATCCCTCATGTACTGCTCTCTGACAGTTTCTTTTCTTTCTCTTTCTCTCCTCCTTCCCCTACCGAATCCTAGAAATTCCGAGTCGATATGCCAGGATCAGGCAGTGCTTTTATCCCCACGATCAACGCCATCACAACCAGCCAAGACCTGCAGTGGATGGTGCAGCCCACGGTCATCACCTCCATGTCAAGCCCGTATTCTCGCTCGCATCCCTACAGCCACCCGATGCCGCCGCTCTCTTCGGTGGCTGGACACACGGCCCTTCAGCGACCTGGCGTGATTAAGACCATTGGGACCACAGTGGGCAGGAGGCGAAGAGACGAGCAGGTAATCCTGTGGGAAGATTGACTCGGGGTGTCCCAGAAATGGGCGCCCAGAGGCTCCCCTGTGCAAGGGGGAGCCCCTGATGCACCTCGCGGCATCTCCCAGCCCCACATGGGAGAGTTGAGGTCTGTCCCGTGTGTTGGACACGCACTGGGGTTTCTCAGTATGACTGCAGTAAAAGCTGGAGGATGATCTTTTTTCTTTTTCTTCTTTTTTTATTATTTCTTATTACTGCTTCCTCATCATATGGCAAGAGTTAACCAATCTCCATAAAACACTTCACACCGCTGGGCCACATTGTGGCTTGGTATCAAAAGCAGGTGAAACTCTGAAGCTGAGCCTTGGGTTTCAGTCTGAATGTCTCCGACTGCCGCCTCGAGCAGAAGGAAACCTCTGAGTCAACAAAAGAGCTTTACATTGGCCGGTCGTTTTGTAAATGACCTAAGTGCATCAACTGTATTTTATACATGCGCTGTGGCAGCTAGCCCTGCTCTCTTCTCCCCTGGGTGACACCACCAGTACCCATTGAGCTGTGCAGCAACTTCCCTACATCATCTTAAGCCTGTTAGAAGGAGYCTTCTGCATGTCTGGGATTGCATCTACCTTCCTGTTGCAAACATGCCAATGTCTGATCTCTTATGGCAGCGTGGCGATGATCCCCRAATCCAGCTCTTTCCATTGCTCTCATGGCGGTGCTTTCATAGCAGCTTGCACTGCTGATGCCTGTGCTCTGTTTCTGCTTTTATTACACAGCAGGACCCTGGGTTCTGTGCTCAGGTAGGGGGTGGACTAAATGTAGATGTCTTACCCTGAATTCCTTTCAGYCCTGTGAATCTCTCATTGTCAGAAACCGCCTTCTCTGGGGCTGTCTAATGAATATCTATCCTCAGTGCCAGGCTAACGTTTTGTTAGCAGAAGATATGAATAACACAGATCTCCCCAAATTGTTCCCAAGCAGCAGTTGTGTGGGTCGCTGCAGAGATGTAACGAGACGCCCCGCACGCCCTCAGCACGAGGCCTGCTTCTAATAAGGAACATCAGCCCTACTTGTGCCTCCACGTCATCTGTTTTGATTCACACTCTGATTACTTTATGTGGAGTCACTGCCCATCTTATAGATGGGAAAGGCAGGGAAGGGGTTAAAGGTGTTTGTCCAAAAAGTTGCATCTCTGAGGGGGCCAGCATAGAGACACACTTAGGACCTGCTTTTTTTAATAGGGAAAGATGAGCTTGACCCTCTGAGGGGCAGATAGGGTTCCTACAGTGCCAGCCTTCTCCCCCAGTGCTGCCCTTGCCAGTTACTTCCCAGCTCCTTGTGTGCTCCACAGGAGCAAGGCTCCTCTCCAAAGCAAGGGAAGCTCTCCCCGAGAACTGGGAGAATAATTAGCAACAACTAATTTGTTTGACAAATGCCGCCTCTATGCTCCCAAATTGGCCGTGAAGAGATCACCATATTCTCCAGTTTATTTGTTGTTCGGAGCTATTTGCTGAAGGATGCCTGCCAAGCGATTCCTGGCCTGTGGCTTGTTTGCAAGCCATTCATTGTGGGTCATTGAAATCCAAGTCCTTTTGATTAGGCACGTGCTAAGTCAGTGCCCAGGCTGTTTGCCGTGACTCTTTGGCTCAGGTTTTTGCTCTTGGTGCTTGTGAACGCCGAATTGGAGTACCTTTTTTTGGAAAACACTGTGTAACRTTTAATGAAAAGAGCCTGTTCTGATGCCAGTGAATGCACATATTGGACTTGGACAGACCACAGATAATGCAGGCAGCAGGGGCATGGAGAGTGCCAAATCAAACTGCTTTCAAATAAATCCAGCAACTGCTTACAGAATATTCCATTTTAGAGACATTATAATGTTAAGCACGCCCAGATTAGGGTCTTCAGTCCTATCTCTGTGAGATTTTTAAAAAGCATAGCCTCTGATATGCTTAATATAAAAATGACTGGAGGCCCTGGGAGGAATAATTTTGTTGCCCAAGCATTTCAATGAGATCTGTGCTTGTAAAGCCTAAAAGGGCACTTGAAAATTGTCTACAGAGGCCCCAAGTCAGCACAGGATTTATAGGCGTGCTCGACACTGCTCCGTGCTGAGGATATGCTGGAAATGGAGCAAGACAGGGGGAAAGGGTGCCTGCCAGGGCTGCCCTTTGGAGGGGACCCCTTGCTGGGGTGCATGTGCTGTGCAGCAAGGCAGAGACAACTGCTGCTGGTGGAAAAGCTCTCAGGTGCATGGCCCGTGGGCCTGAGTTAGTGCCAGAAGGGCCTGTACAGCTCATGGGGCTGTGCCTGGCTCACAGAGCAGGTGTGTAGTGTCCAGGGAAAAAAAAAAAAAAAAAAAAAAAAAAAGAAAGGCAGAACAGGGCAAGGGGAATGCCCAGGGATTAAAATAAACCCTCTGAAACTGAAGATGGAAACCAAGGAAATAAAACAAAACAGAGTGAGTTGAGGGTAAAAATAAAACTAAAAAGAGGCARTAAAATGGTGGTTATCTTGTTTGTGATAGTGACGGCCCCAGGAGGTATTAACTGAAGGCTTTTAAGGAAGGAGGGTTTTTTTCCAGTCTCTACTGGCCAACACACGAGATCAGAGTGCTTCACCCAAGCCACTTGTTTCATTTTGCCTGCAGTTGCTGAGCCTGAGGCCTGAGCCTGTGCCGTGAATCCCCACACCAGCCTGTTTGCAGAGGCTCCTGCGAGCACCGGGCGGGCAGCACTGCCGGCCCTGTTCCCGCTGTGGGACTTGCTCCCCTGTTGCTTGCCMTGATACGAGCGCATCTTCCACTGCCCCTGTTGAGAAAACCTTGTCTCAAACTTAAAACACTAAGCTTGACTTGACCGGGTCTTGTGGGCTCCTGCTCACTTCCTCTGGTTTCGCAAGAGTGTAAACTCTATGGGTTTCTATGGAACTGCTCCTGATTTACATCAGCGAGGATGTCAGCTGGCCTCAGGAAGCCCTTGATAGCACTGGAGCCTTGCCTGCTGATGCAAGAAGCACAGCGCGTTATCTCGCTTAGTGCTCGAAAACCTGAGGTCAGATTTTTGGGTAGTATAAATCATTGTTGCCTCACGGACTTTGTGAGAGCTCTGCTGATTTCCCCCTCTTCTCCCCCCACCCCATCTCTGACCTTCAAGCTAACAACTATTTTTGTGTGGGAAGGAGCAGATATTTTCTTTCAAGAAAGAGGCACTTACAACATCGTGCTCTGGTTTTGCTTAATGTTACCACCCAAGTTGTGAAACAATCAGAGCATCTTTTATCTGTTTGGCCTTGGTGCAGATTCACTGTCCTCTTACACAATCCCCCCCTCTGCTCCCCACTGTCTTCTCCTCACCCTTCTGCCGGGACCCGGTGCTAGCAGAGATACTGTGCGCTTTCATCTTCTGCTGACATCAGTCAGGAGGGGGAGTGCRGAGCATCCTGCTGGATCAGGCCTTTTTCCTTTGTGTTGCGGTTAAATCCTTGCAAACTTCAAGGAATGCCTTGCTCAGATCTGATTGTGGGTTTTCTTGGCACTTGCCCACAGCTGTCGCCTGAGGAAGAAGAGAAGCGAAGGATCCGGAGAGAGAGGAACAAGCTGGCAGCTGCTAAGTGTCGTAACAGGCGTCGAGAGCTAACAGAGAAACTCCAGGCGGTACGTGCTCCGCATGCATCCCTCTCTCCCTGTCGCCTGCCCTACCAGCTCGTAGGGCACTGCTTTGCCTCTGCTAGCACGCTTGAAGAAGATGCTGCAAAACACACTGCCTTTGCCTTCTGGTGTCTCTGTGCTGAGGTTGACCGCTGGTGTTGCCTCTACTGCAGCTCAGGGACCCAAATTCCCAGTGCTCGCTGTCCAAAACTTCTCAGCAACTCCACTTTTCCAGCATGCCCCCCTAGCACTAGTCTCCCTAGCTCTGAGCTCCATCTGTGAGTAGAAACAAAGATGTTGTGTGCCTCAAATGTGTGCTTTTGGGACAGAAGTGTTGTAAGGTCACCTGAGAGAAGTAGAAAATGAGGCAAACATTATGTGTACGCATTAAAGCCACATCCTTTARACTAACCTCTCTTTGGTCAGAGATAACCATTTTTTTCTTTTGCACAAAGGAAACACCATAGATATATTTGGTCTACAGTTCCTGGAGATATGTGGCCCAGCGTCACAAGGGAAATTACTATTTTTGCCAGCAAAGATAGGGGTGGGTGCCAGAACTGTGGGGTGGATAAGGAACTGGCTGAAGAGGAGACGAGATGGGCGGGGAGGTGGGAGGCTGGAGGGAAAGCTCCAGCTCCTGCTCAAGAACTGGCCTAGGATAGCTTGTATATGACTTTAACCATCAGAATTTATTAACAGCAGAAGTAGTGAAAGCCCATCAGTGAAATGTGCTGCTGACTCAAAATTGGAAGGCATTTTCATCGTTAAGGGGGGAAAGGGCATCATACAGGAAGAATTTAAGGATCCTTGTGACTAAATTAATAGAAATGAGATGAGTAAGAAGTGGGAAGTCATATCCTGAAGGACGTAGGGCCAGAACTTCTTAAAAGATGAGCTCCTCACACAGGAAGATACTAATTGCTCACAGATTTACTATGAACCAYCAGTTTGATGTGACCATGGGAAAAGTAAATGCAATAATCCACGGCTGCATCAAGGAGTGATCCAGCAGAGGTGAAAGTGCCTTGTGCAGGTCTCRGGTCATACCTCATCTATGGTATGCATACTACAGAGAAAATGGAGACAATACTAAGGCAGCGTGATAAGAAGACCGTTTGTAACCCTTAGGTTAGTAAAGTCACTTTCCCAGTGAAAGATGGAAATGCAAAATGCTCAACTAGAAATGGCCTGCAAAGGGACTGAGGTGTATCTGCTTGTGGTGGCAGGGACTGGACTTGATGGCTATGCTGTACATGAGGAGCAGTGTCAGAGCCTCAGGTATTCACTTCTTCCTCCTTTGTCTGCAGGAAACTGAAGTGCTGGAGGAGGAGAAGTCAGTGCTGCAAAAGGARATTGCTGAGCTCCAGAAGGAGAAGGAGAAACTGGAGTTCATGCTGGTGGCTCACAGCCCTGTGTGCAAAATCAGCCCTGAGGACCGCCGGAGCCCGCCGTCCAGCAGCCTCCAGAGCGTTCGGACTGGAGCGAGCGGAGCGGTGGTGGTGAAACAAGAGCCTGTGGAGGAAGAGATCCCATCTTCCTCTTTGGTCCTTGACAAAGCCCAGAGGTCTGTCATTAAGCCCATCAGCATTGCTGGAGGTTTTTATGGGGAGGAGGCACTCAACACTCCCATCGTGGTGACCTCAACACCAGCCATCACTCCTGGCTCCTCCAACTTGGTGTTCACCTATCCCAATGTGTTGGATCAGGAGTCTCCTCTCTCCCCATCCGAGTCCTGCTCCAAAGCTCACCGGAGGAGCAGCAGCAGTGGTGACCAGTCCTCGGATTCCTTGAACTCTCCCACCTTGCTGGCGTTGTAATCCCCCCGCGGCCCCCCGTTGCCAGTGTGTTACATCCCCCCCAGCACCATGGGGGCAGCCCCCCTCCGTGGTGTTAGAGACAGGCAGAGGATCGTGCAAGCACAAGGGCAGCAAGAGCAAGGATGGGGAAGTGCTGCGGCTCCAGGAAGGAGAGCGAGGACCAACGCCAGCTGCCCGGAGGCAGGAAACGKCAAGGGTGGGACTGACGTGCCAGGACTGTTTGGAGAGGCTGATCTCCCCTCTGTAGGAACTGCCTATGGAAACCTCTTCACAGCCATAGTGGACTTAGGAAACACTCTTGACCAGGACTGGAGGCGAGCTGGAGACAGCCGCTAGTTGTCCCTTTCCTTTGTGAATTGATCGGATCGGTTATGCTCTGTGCTTAGGTCTATCTGGTTAGTTAATTTTATTAGACTTCTTGCCTTGCCTTTCTCTCTCCTCCTTTCTCTCTCTGTTTATCATTTCCAATGTTGTCGATCCCATGACATTTCATCCAGTCGCTCTGAACTCTAAAGGCTTGTTAGATCTATCCTCTTGGGAAGGGCTGTGGGGAAACTGGTGGGGCTGTCAAGGCAGGAGTGGGATGGCTGGGAGGGCAGCAGGGGCCTGGGAGCAGCACAAGGGCTCAGCAATGAGGGCAGGGCTTGTAATTCAGTGGCCTGTGGCACAGACGTAGTGAACACAGACAGCAGGAGGCTCATGTGACGTGGGGATGGGACATAGAGAAGCTCTTTTTTTAATTTCTCTCTTTTTTTTTTTTTTTTTTTTTCTCCCTCTTCTTAATAAGTAGACATATTTATCCTGCTGGTCTCCTCAAAACCCAAGTTAACATCTCAGGGCCAGAGTAGCATCACAAGAGCTGCTGGGGTGGCATTTCCAGTGTCCTCGGGAGGGTTCAACCCCTATTTGGTAGTGACCAATCTGCTGCTGGGATCTCCTTTGTTTACTTTTCCTGGGATGCCTGCTGTCCAGGGAGTATTACACCTTCCTCCCACCACAGTTCCTGACTCGGATGCTGGGCTCTCCCTACTAGCAAATCCTGCCTTYCCCTTGGCTGTCTTTGCAGAGTGTGCCACTCAAAGGGAGGTGGTACCACGCAAGCACAAATCTAGGAGGGAAATTGGTAGTGGATAAGAGAGTGAGAACTTCTGGCTGTCCCCTCCATGGTTTCTCCTTTGGCAAGCGAAGCAGCTCCAAACCCTGCAAYTGATCCTAGGGGGTGTTTGCTCAGAGATTCCCAGCTCCTGAGGTCRGGAGGAAGGTGATGGTGTAACCTCAGGTACAACACAGGCCACAAGGTGCTTCGGACCAGGCATTGCGCGCTCCTGGCAGTGACCTGTTTGGCCATCTCTGGTTGTGATTGACAAATCGACACTGAGAGAAAATTGATTACCATTACTTGCACCTCACTCGGTCTCTGACCTCTCCTTTTTTTYCCTTTTTCTCTCTCTATGTAACTGATTTGGTTTTGTTTGGCTTGATTTGGCTTGAAGACCAGAAACAAACCAGAGAGCTCTGTCCTTAGCCCGGGATATGGTCTCCTCCAACCCCTGATCTTGGCTGCTAGTACTGAAGGCACCAGAGGGCACAAGCTGAGGCTCTAATGCTGATGTTCACTACTGAGAAGAGCAATGCGCTTAAGCTGCTCCTGTCTAGATCCAAGCTCAGCTCCTGTTAATGCTGAGGCACTGACAAGCAGTGGCTGTGTACACACCAAGGTTGCCCAGCTTGTCAGCTGCACTTCGTTCAAGTCTGTTGAAGCTGTGATGGCAGCTATTTATTTTGGTCTGGTATTTTTTTTTTTTTAATGATTTTTTGGTTAGGCTAGACCTGGAGGAATGCAGTATGCAATGGTAGGGCCGGTCCTGTCAGATGATTCTTGCAGATCCCACTGACTCCATCGAGAATTAATGGAGTTCAGTCTTGTGGAACKGGACCTCTACTCAGCAGGGCTGGATTCCCTCCAACCTTGGCCATTGCCTTACTCCTTGAATCATTTCAAAGGGAGGCTACTTTGACTCTAAAGGTAGATTTTTTTTTTCCTTCCTCCTCCTCCTGCCCTGATATTTACCAAACTTACCAGAAATAGAAAGATACGAGTGTTATTTTTGCCTTGTAAAACTGTCAGTGATTCAGTTTTTTTCTTTGTTTTTAAAACATTCCCATCATTCTACCARTACTAGAGGTCTGAAATGGAGCTTACACAACAAGTAAAGCTGATAAGGGAGTTCTTTTGTCCTTATGTGAGCATCACAACTTCCTTTATAATGAAGTAGATATTAAACTTCTGGTAGTTAACACAGCTGATCCTGTTTTCATATGGTTTTATGTAGATGATGTCAGTTTAGGGGAAACGCTGGCTGGTTTAATCATCTCCACTGCTAGATACTTGTTTGGGCCAATCTGGATTTAGAGCCCTGGGCTGTTCAATAACTTCAGCAAAATGTCTCTACATCTCATTACACCTATTCTGGGAGGACGGCAACATTGGCAAGTGGTGAAACTTAAAGTCAGGCAGCTACTTTTGGGGCCAGCTCATCACAGGCCTGTGAGAGATCCCTGGAGTCGAGGCTCAGGTGATGATGTATCCGCAGCACTCCTCACGGGGAGTTTGGGAAGTGCCACCTCAAACTCGAGTTATCTTAAATACCAGTAGGACAACAGAAACCTCTCCTTAAGCCTTGCTGGCCCTTAGGGATTTGGTGCATAGTGACTTGTCCCATTTGCAGTTCAGTTATGTCRACTACCTTGTCAGCTGTGTGTCTGTCTCAAAGACAAACGAGCGTTTTTTAGGAGTGTAAGGCAAGTTTCTTGGAAAGGAAAAGGTTTATCTAGCTCTGGTGAGGAGGCAGGTGGGAAAATCCAACTGCATTTCCAAAAAAAAAAAAAAAAACCCTTAGGTGTGGCCTTTGCTGCAAAACCCACTGCTGCCAGCCTGCAAAAGCCATCTCAGAAATCTGAGATGTTTATTCTCATATTTGGCTCAGTTCTTTGCCGTAGTTCCAAATTGCTCTCAACAAGTTAAGTCTTTTAAACCAAGTATGAAGTCCTCAGTTTAGCAAGATTTTAGATGTGGGCCGTTCTTACCCATTTATGCCAGGRGCTCCATTCTCATCACATACAAAGGTAATTTTGCATTTTCATTGTTTTCACCGGGTTGTTGCCTGAAGGAGCTGCAGCTGGCCCCTGCCAGATGATCACTGACTTGTCCCTGATCATCTCGGAGGAGAGACAGAAGCGTCCCCTTCTCTGCCTTGTGGTACAAACGGGAGCAGTTTGAAACTACACACAAAGCATACTGCTTATCTCGAGTGCCTTGTGCCTGCCTGTCTTGTCCCTCAGTCCTCTCCGAGGATTTCTGTGTTGGAATCACCAGTTTCCTGCCTTCTGGATTTTGTGGATCAGCATTACCTTTAGTTTCTAGTAGGCAGGAATACCTTAAACTGTCCATCTGTTTTGGTCTGGCCCTGGATTATTTTTTCCCCCCAAGTTTACTGATGTGCTTTTGGGAGTTGACACTCTTCCCCATCCCACYGATGCTGTTTTCCATGAATACCTTTCCTGATGATTTCTCAGCATTTGCTGTTTCCACATTCCACACACAATAGGGGTGCGGATGCTGTTGGAACTAATGTCTCACCAAAAGCTGTTCAAGTCAGTAGAAAAATGCCCAGGGAATTTCAGCTGGTACTGGGTGACCAATCCAACTGGGTCAGTCAGCTGGCACTTGTGCCTGGCCCAAAGAAGCCCCTAATAACAGAAGGACTAACAAATTGAGCAGTGCCCAACTGGGAGGAGCAATAGCAGCCACTCTGAAGGAAACAAGGAAACACTCAGCTTCCAAGTGATGTTTGCCATTCCAGTTTTACCCTCCTTCCTCCTCCCCCCTTCCCAGTTCTGGTCTTGCCTTCATCCATTCCTTTCTTGTAGGTGTGGAGACTGGGTAACTCTCAAACTGCTTGCGGTGTAATGGGATTTGGGACCAACATATTGGGGACAGTAGCTCTCTGTGTTTTTATAATTATTATTTAAATGATCTATTTAGTTTATCTGAACCTTTTTTTTTTCTGCTSCTTACTGTATGTAGGATCCACCTGGCCTTCATCCTAAGTAAAAAACAAAACAAAACAAACAAAAAAAAATGAAATGAAAATACACCTAAGGCATTTCCCCAGTATCTTATTTATTGGCTGGCAGTTTTTTTGAGCTTGCTCCAGCAGATCTGTCTGCCATTAATTTAACATCCTCCCAACTCACATTCCTAAGTTTTGGTGGTTGTTTTTTTTTTTTTTTCATTCTAAAGCAGACTCCTGAAATGTAAAGAAAAATTAATAACTATCACACAAGTTCATTTTCATTAGGAAGGCCAAGTCAAACTTTTTAAGAGGTGGGGGGAACAATCTGCATTTTATTTCTTATTTATTTATCATGTTTACATCTTTTTTTTCTGTTTAAGACTTGGATATAATAAAGAAAGCATTAAAAATACTCAAATCTTTTTTGTTTTTTTTTAGGCTAATATTTTTTTCAATTCTTTAAATAATTCTGGGTTTTGTTGTTGTCTGTATAAAATGTATAAAGAGATATGTTTCTAAAGATGCATTATCATTCCTCTGTGAACAGTAGGTGGAGTTGAGGACAAATCTCAGAATACAAGATAATAATAAAATCCCATCCTGTTTTACTTAATTGTTTCCCTCCTATCCTGTATGATTAAAGGGTTATTCCACTTTCTTGTTTGTGGTTACTTGATATTAAAACCATATTAAGATGTGTAGAAAATAGATATCGAATTGTTTTTGCTCAGTGAGAGGATAAAATGTTGTATATATATTGATATACCGTGTAGTTCAAAGTAACACCAATAAGGGATAGTGCATCTTTATTAGAGCGATAAGTTGCTAGTGTCACTAAAGTCTACTTTAAGATCCTCAGATATAAAAAGGACCTGATTTTCATTCCACTTTCCTGTGGGTAAATGGGGAGCATCAACAGTGTGTCACTGCTGCAAAGCAGGTGTCAGGTAAAATCAAGCCTCAATGATTAAGGTGCAACCATGAGGATTATCCAAAGTCTGGGGGCACCGTTGTCTTATTTTCCTCAGAAGTTTTAGATCATGGCTTTTCTTTCTTTGTTTGCAGTGAAATAATTTCTGCCGAGGAGGTTCTTAAAGGTGACTGTTGAATTGGGACCCTTCTTTGCTCGTTGTGATCTTTATATAGTTCTTGCAGTCCTGGAGAATCTCATCTCTGAGACTTTCTCTCTGGTGTTGTCTCTTTTCTGTTCTTGTTATTTTACTGTAATACAGGCCTACAGTATTTGCACTAAAACAAAAAGCTTGTTAGAGAAAGCTTGCTGCTATGAAAGAAAGAACATATTAAAATGATTCTGCTTTTACAATTTTAACTGAGTAGCATTTTGTAGAATAAAATTGATTTAGAC